ACAAAGATACTTTTCCTGGGTCTTGGCGGCAAAAAGCAAAAAGCAGAAAGTTTGACGTCGCCCGGAATCGAACCTGCGGCACATTTTTGGTTTCCAGCCCCTTTAAAAAGCTAAACCGGCAGTCAGTTGGTAGATTGGTAGGCAGAAAAGTTAAAAATGACAATTATCAAGGCCGGAAATTACCGTATGCAAATTTTGGGGCGGTTCCTGTTTTCGGCCAGTCCCTTTTGGTCCTAAAAATCCACAAAACCCGATTTTCACTTCAGCGTCCCTTTAAAATCGTGAACTGGCGGGCAGTTCAGAGATCCCACCCAAAAACTGGGTCCCCCTCGGAAGCGGAACAATTTTTTGGGGGTATCTATTTCTAGTCGCCTACACCCTCACCCCCACTAAGGTTAGGGCCCAGTCAGAGGGCCCACTGGGGGCCCTCGGCCAAAAGAGAGCGCCCCAGTCCGCACACTGCCTTCCCCTCCACCCACCCCGACGTCATCCGACATCATCTGAAAAGAGAGAGAGAGAGAGAGGGGGGGGGGCTGACGTCGTCTACCCCCCGCAGCCCCCGCAAAGACACGAAAACACCAGAGAATTCAGGAAAGGGGGAGGGATTGGCATTCCGATGAGGCCGCTGACAGCCAGATAGACGATAGATGGACGGATCTGGAGAGGGGGCAGGCGAGCAGAGACTTTTGAGGAACGCCCGCTAGGGCCTTGGCTTGGCCACCCACAGGGGCTCTCGCCCTCACTTTCCCATACACACACGAGATATTTTGGCTTTCTGAATGTTACCTTATCTATTCTGTCAGGTATACTGTAGTTTGGGCAGTTTTTTTGGTGTCTCTGCCCCTTTAAAATGGGTTTTATGCCCCGAGTTTTATCTCTTGGACTTCGAAATATTTCGACGATTTTTTTGCATTTTCAGGGTGATGTTTTGGCTTTTTGGATGAATTTATCTATTCTGTCAGGTGTACTGTAGCTTGGACAGGTTTTTTTGGCTTCTCTGTCCCTTTAAAATCGATTTTTAGAACTTTCGGATTTTTCAAAATTTCGAATTTTTCACTTCTTCCTTTTAGTTCTAAAGTCGTATTTCGATATTTTTCGATGTAAATTTATATTTTTTTGTAATACATACAGTATTCTAGCGAATTCTTCACTTCCTGGTACCTTTAAAATAATTTATTCGATATTTTTCAAAAGTTTGCTTTTTAGCTACGGGACGCTCCAAATTACACTCAAATACGGTACTTGCTGGCGATTAGCTATGCGATCTTTTAAACTGCCACCCAGTTGAGCCATTGACGCAAAAAGTTTCCCAAAATCCACGCACACCCCAAATATTTACAACGCGTTTTGAGACGGACCTTTCATGGGGAGGTGGCTGTTTACTGTAGTCGTTATTGTATCTCTCTCTCGCCCGCCACGGGACCCATCAAAATACACAGGGCTTTTCAAGTCGAAATTGGACGGCTTTTCCTCGTGAATACATAAGCGAGAGAGAGAGCGAGAGAGAGAGAGAGAGAGAGAGAGAGAGAGAGAGAGAGAGAGAGAGAGAGAGAGAGCGCGCGAGACAACCCGCCCGCACACTTTATTCACACAAAAAAGGCGAAACCTATTCAACGATTTTCCAGCCGTCCTGGTTTCAATTTCGACCCAAAACTCGACGCCCCGTGTATTTTATGGCTTAATACACCCACGCGTTCGGTTTGCTGCCTGTCAGACTGACATTTGGGAAATTGAACACCGATTTTCCGCAAGAAACCCTGCTAGCTTGCTCTCTAGACCTTTTTTGCCGAACTTCTGTGGATTTCCGATTTTTTCGATTTCCTCAAGGATTCGGCTAGCCTGCCCGGTTTTTTGGATTTCCTAAAGGAACTTTGCTATCTGGCATCCAATCTAACATTCGAAAACTAAAAAATTCCTGAAAATCCCTGCTAGCCTGCCCTCTGGAGCTACTCGATTTCCCTCAAGGATTTCTGCTAGCCTACCTCAGAATTTTGGAATTGCCTCAAGGATCTTTGCTAGCTGTCATGCAATGGTTCGATCTATATCGAAAACAGCAAAAATTTCCGCAAGAATCCCTGCTAGCATGCCCTTCGCAAACCTGCCGAATTTCCAGAACTTTCCGGCCTTTTTGTGCGGCTTAACAGTCAGAATCGGCACGTGGCTATGCGTCCTCCTCTCCACTGTCCCTCGTAAAATGCCCTCCTCCCTAATGGGCTGAACACGGCTTTTCCACTCTTTTTCAGCCGGCCGTACAGTTTCCCCCCCGCGAATTTGTACGCCCCCTCAAAATGTTGAACCGCGTTTTTGCCGCTCAAAAATTTCTAGCTTCTCCCCTAAAAATCTCTGCTAGCCTGCGAGGTACTGAATTTTAAAGGGGCTATGACAGTTCGTGGACTGATTTGCGAGCTAGCAGCGATTTTTTCGGAAATTTTCAATTTCCATTTACGAAACTGCCAGCCGGCTGGTTGGCCTATTTGCGGCCTAGGCCAGCTAGCAGAGGTTCTTTAGGAAATTTTTCTATACATTTAGGTCACCTGCCACCCAGTTGATCGATCTTCTAGCCCATTTTTCAATCTGCCATCCAAACTAGCAATTTTCAGCCTGGGCAGGCTAGCAGAGAATCTTTGTGGAAATTCCTTGCCGATTCTCGATACGTACCCCATCAATTCTGTTGCTCTGGTTGAAGGCGTCACATCCTGGGAATCAGCCTTTTCCACCCCCTTGCCCCGTTTATCGCCCCTTTTTGTGACCCACTCTCCCCGATATATTGGATGCCATCAAAACGGTTCTTTGTCGCCTTTCATTCATTTTTAGGCAGCCGAATTCTGATTTTCTGACTGTCTGTCCGGCAGTTAAAATATCTATAGCACTCTCTCTCTCTCTTTCTCTCTCTCTCTCTCTCTCCCCCTCTCTCTCTCTCTCTCTTCTGATATCGAGTACACTGACCTGCAATGTACACTTCTTGACAGCTAACTGCCTGCCCCTATCTTTTACCAGCAATTTTATATGGCCCTCCAGACCCATCGGAACCAAAAATCTCAAAAATCTCCTGGGTCTACCCTAGGAATCTCTGCTAGCTTGCTTGGGTCGTCAGCAAAGCGTTTCTGCTAGACTGCCAGCCAGTGCAGCTTTTGGCCGAGTCTTCTTTTGAAAATTCGCTTTCCACAAGGGTCGCTGCTAGTCAGTACGGCTTTCGGAGAGCTGGAATCCCGTTTCCTCAAAGATCTCTGCTAGCTTGCCTCGAATTAATTTTCCGCAAAGCGTCTCTGCTAGACTGTCAAACAATAAAGCCATTCCTCAATTTAGATTCGTAAAAGCAGGCTTCCGAAAGGATCCCTGCTAGCTTACCCCCTTGCAAAACCTCCAAAAACAGAAGTGATGTGGGTGTGTCCGCCCTCTATTTCGAGATGTTCCATTCGTGTGTGTGTGGCTATGGGGTCCCTCCCCTTCTCTTCCTCCCCCAATTTAGACCCAGCCCCCCGGAGGGCACCGGGGGGTGAGGCCGTCCAGAGGATTGACTCGTAGCATCCCGGCTGACTAGACCCCGTTTTTTCGATTTTTCCGGTTTTTCGAAGAATCCCTGCTAGTCTGCCTCTTGAATTTACAGAATCGACTAACTACCATCCAGAAAACCCATTGACGCTTTTAAATCCCTAGAAATTCCCCAAGAATCTCTGCTAGCATGCCCAAAAACTGGTCTACCCTCTCGGGGCGTGTTCCTCAATGATCCCTGCTAGCCTGCCTTCCGAAATTTACAGAATTTGCAAGCTGCCATCCAGAAAACCCATTCCCAATTTGAAATTCTGTAAATTCCCCCAAGAATCCCTGCTAGCTTGCCCAAAAACCGAACTTTCGGTGTATCGATTTCCCCAATGATTCCTGCTAGCCTGCTTTCCCGGTTTTTTTCCAGGCGCCAATCTGCCATGCAACAAACGGTTTCCCGTTGACAATGGCATCATCTGGCCCCCATACTCCGAGCTCCGTCCCCCCAAAAGCTTTTTGGTGTCCCTCACGCGGTGCCCCCTTCCATCTGTCCAAATATGGCCTTTACCCCCCTCAGAATCGGGGGGCCCGCTTCATTTTTTGTTTTAAAAACTCCACCCTCCTCCCCGATCTCGCAGCTGCTGCACAGCCCCCCATCCTTGCAAAACTCCAACGACAAAACGCGCGTTTCGGGGCGTACAGTTGCGGAATTTTGAGGGAAACTACACGTAGCTCCTCTGTACGCCCTGAAAATTTGGATTCCTTTGCGGGTATTGATTATCTGTATGCCAGTTTATCCAATACGACTACGATTTCCAAGTTAAGCTCACGGCTTTGGGCTACAGACTACAAAGTCGCCTTATGCGAGTTTCGAAAGTACGCGTAGCTCCTCCGTACACTCTCGGATTTCTGATTTCTTTGCTGCAATCCCTTAATTGCCTGCCAGTGTAGCTTAACAAGTACAGTTGTAGCTTGTAGTCTACAAGCTCCAGGCTGCAGACTAGAATTTACACTTTCAAGGGCCAGAATTTTGACGAATTTGAACATTTTCCGAGTTTCTGGAAAAACGATGAGAGACAAACTACAAAATCCTGCCAACTGCCCATTAGTCGAAAAATAGAAACCATAAACTCTCCCTGATTTGCTCAATTTCCCCCAGAATCTCTGCCAGAATCGATATTTCGATCAGGGTGGCCCTCGAGGCTCTTATCTCATTTTTGTGTTTGATTGCCCTGCTCCCCCTCCCCGTTCAGCGCTTTTCCTTCTTTCACCATTTGTCCTGGAAAATCTGCGCTGCAACATTGCCTTTCAACAAATTTTTGGCGTTTCGAAAATCGATTTTTTTGGCGTTTTTTTTCGAATTTTTCGAGTCTTTGCTGGTCAGCCAATCGATTACGCCTTGTAATTCCAGTCTATCGATCTCTAAAATTCATTTTTTGTGGATATTTCTAAACTGCCATGTAATTAATCGATTACGCAACATATTTCCATTTCAGCTCCCAACAAACGGCTCAAGAATGAAGGGTGGCGACAATTGCGCGGCTGCCAGCAGCACCGCATATCTCTCCGAGCGACAGGTAAGCAAAAATCCCGATTTTTACGTTTTTAAAGGGGGCGTGACAGCTAGCCGGTTCAATTAATCTTTTTTTAAGTTATCTGCCGTCCACTTTTCCTGATTTCAATTCCTAAATGGTCACTGCTAGCTTGCTAACCTCAAAAAAAACTTGAATTTTGTCTAAACTGACGGACCAAGCGTTGAAGTTTCTAAAAAATCTTTGCTGGCTGGCCTCTTGATTTTGAGTGTGACTTTTGGGCTATCTGCCATTAATTTTTGCGATTTTCGATTCGTAAATTATCACTGCCAGCTTTCCTCGACTTTTTTAAACTAGATTTCCTGAAAATGGAAGCGAGCTAGGCGAAAAATGAAACCATCAACTCCCACGTGGGCTTTCCCCCGAAATTTCGTATCCACCGGATATTAGGAGGGGGGATATCTCTGGAGCAGCTCCCCTTTCTAATCTTGGATATTATTTTTACGATAGCCCCCTTAGCCCGTAAATAGACGCCTAACGGAAATTATTGCCCCGACGCGTAGCTCGCAAAAATAATTTCGAAAATCCCCCATCCTGCAGGGCCCGTGAAATGACGTAAAAAGTTGTTTTTCGCGTATTCTGGGGGTGAATTTGACCGGAATAACACGAAGAAATGGACGGCCAAAGTAGCAGGGATTGTTTTGGAAATTCTAAAACGTTCCCTGTCCTCCAGTTTAGAAAAATTCGGATTTTTTGCCGGGCAAGCCAGCAGGGATAATTTGGGAAGTCGGGAAATACAATTTACATGTCAGTTTGGCCAAAACAACACTGAAAAGCAAGAGGCAGTCTAGCAGCGATTTTTCTTGATTGAGGGCCGATAGGGGGGGCAATATTTCGAAAATCTCCTTTCTGCAAAAATGACGTAAAAAGGGGGGGGTTTTGCGCGGGTTCTGCACACGGCATTTGGCCGGAATAACAGGCCCAGAAAAGGAGGGGCAAGCTAGCAGGGATCATTTAGATTAGATTGAAAATTGGAAACTGGACGCCAGATAACCTAGAAAAGGGTTTCGAATTTTCCGGGGGAGGCTGGCAGAGGTTTTTTGGGAACTTAGAAGCGCTAACCGGCTTCCAGTTTAGCCAAAAATCGCAAAAAACGCGGCAAGCTAGCAGGGATTTTTTGAGACGTCGGTAATTGAAAAGTGGATGCCAGATTATCCAAAAATCATTTCAAATTCGTAGGGCAGGTTAACAGAGATTTTTCAGGAACTTAAAAACACTAACCGGCCTCCAGTTTAGCCAAAAATCCAAAAGACGGGGCAAGCTACCAGGGATTTTTTAGGAAATTTGAGAATGAGGCAATTGACAGGCGGCCTAGATATTGGGCAAAAAAAAATAAAAATTAACCCAATTTTTCAGCTGGAGCGCCTGAGCACGGTGCTTTCGGAGCGTGTCGACATCCACGGCAGGGGCAATTTCCCCACAATCAACGTCCGTCTATTGGATCTGATCGTTTGCGTGCGCGAGAAGTTACGGTACGTTTTGCCGGGGAAAAATCGATATTTCTTGGCGCGGGCGAAACGGTGGGAATATGCGTGACGCAAATCAGCCACCCCCATCTCAGGCATTCTGGAGGCGGAAAAGCCGAGGCAAAGGGGAAAAGGGGCAAAACGGAAGGAGGGGGTTGGTGGAATTTGGAAACTGCATGGCAAATAGTACGAAAATAACCTCAACATAAGTGAGCAAGCTAGCAGAGATGTTTTGGGACGCAAAAATCGATAAATTGGATGCCAGATAAGACGAAAATTGCTTTAAAAATTAAGGGTAGGCTAGCCGAGATTATTTGGGAATCGAAATTGACAAACTGCATGCCAAATTACCCAAAAAATAACTGTAACTCGAGGGGCAAACTAGCAGGGATCTTTTGGGACCCGGAAATCTCTTAAATGCATGTCAGTTTGCCTAAAACAATTTAAAATTGCACGGGCAGGCTAGCAGCGATCATTTAGGACGCAAAAATCTATTAACAGGATGCCAGATAGCACGAAAATAGCCTTAAAAATTAAGGGTAGGCTAGCAGGGATCATTTAGGAATCGAAAACTCTCAACTGGCTTCCAGAAAACCCCAATCAATCGATATTTTCAGCGAATTCGGCGTGGGCCCGCGTCAGGTGAAGATGAACGGCGGTGCCGCCTCGTATGTGGTGGCTGCGGAAGAATTCGCGTACTCGGATCTCGATCTCATCTTCCCCATTTCGTTCGCCCAAGAGGACACCTTTGATCTGGTAAGTGGTGGGCAATCTGGCAGGGGTTCTTTGCGGAAACGGCTCATTTTAAAAGGAGCATGACAGTTAGGGATTTGACGCCAATTTCATGTTTCTTTGCCGGAAATTCATGGAAACTGACCAAATTTTTATCGTTTTCAGGTCCGAACTGCCGTTTTTAACGCCCTGGTCGAGTTGATGCCCGAGGAGACGGATAAGACGCGGATAACGGCCGATACCTTGAAAGATATCTACATCCGGAAAATGGTCAAGGTGCGTTTATCGATTTTTGGCGTCTAAAAATTGAAATTTTTCGAGATTTTTGCAATTTTAGGCCAAACTGCCTAGAGAACTGGCTTTTCTGACCCCCAGTTTCCAGTTTTAGCGATTCTATCAATTTATTTTGCGAGATCCAGCCAAACTGACCCGAGAATTAGCCGTTCTGGCATCCACCCCGGCCAATTATCGATTTTTCAGGTGGACGAATCGGATCGTTGGTCTCTCTTCTCCCTCCACAATCATTTCGGCCGATGCATCGAATTGAAATTTGTGGACAGAATGAGGAGACAATTCGAATTCTCGGTGGACAGCTTCCAAATTACCCTCGATCCGCTGCTTGACGACTTCGAATCGCCCGACAACAAGGTGAGGAATCGATCCATTGAATGCCAGTTAGCAAGTTAGCGGAGATTTTTGAGGAATCTCGGAAAGGCCAGCAGAGATTTTTGAGGAAATCGATATTTAACCGGGATTTTCAGGTGGTAATCGAATCGGTGTTCGGCGACATTCGAATGGCCCTCGACCATCTGCATCAACGGCTGATCGATACGAGGAGACCGGAAGAGATTCGAGGAGGGGGACTTCTCAAATATTGCCATCTTCTCACAAGGGGATACAAGGCAGCCAGGCCGACGAAATGTCGACAACTTGAGAGGTGAGCCTTTAAAAGCGATTTTAACTTTTTAAACATCTCGAACATTTAGTTTTCTAACCTAAATCGCCGAAATGGCTGCCAAAAAGTGCAAAAATCTGCTATACAAATTTTTCTGAACGTTAAAAATTATTTTTCTAACGTAAATTGCTTAACTGTCAGGCAAAAAATGCAAAACACTGCTGTACAAAATTTTTCTGTACGTTGAAAATTATTTTTATAGCTTATATAGCTTTTCTGGCAGCCAAAAAAACAAACCAAAAATGCTAGAAACCAAATTTTTTAGCTTTTTAAAAAGTGTAATGATCAAAACGATGTTTTGCAGATACATGTGCTCGCGCTTCTTCATCGATTTCCCGGATATCAACGCGCAAGAAGTGAAACTGAGGAATTATCTCGACAGCCACTTCAGCAATACGCTCGACTCGGTGAGCGTAGTTTGTAGCTTGTATCAATAAAACAAATATTTTAGTGGTCAACGAACTCGTGTGGCGAGGATACGGATTCTGAGGCTTCAACCAGCCAAGCCAGCAGCCATCCCTCCCATCTGTCCGTCCAACAGGTACGACATGCTACTATTAACATCAAGAAACCCGCAAAATCGAATATTTTTGGGATTTCATCGCGTAATCGGACAAATTGCCAGCCAGATTGGTACTTGAAAATTCAATCCTGCAAATCCAGCGCATTTTCGAATTTTATCGCGTAATCGGATATCCTAGTCGTCAGTTGAAAACCTAAAAAACTCAATCCATCAAAACGGAATCCAATTGGATTTTCATGGCGTAATCGGATCTACCGAAAGCCGGCTAGATAAAAAACAAAACTCAATGCATCAAAATTTCAGTCGATCTCGTTTTTCGTAGCGTAATCCAATAGCCCGCAAGGCAGTTTGAGTTTAAAAACTCTTCTTACTAAAAAAGTATCATTTTTGGAATTTCATGGCGTAATCGGTTAGACCGGGAGCCAGTTAAGGCAAAAAAATCGCATAAAATAAATAATCCCCTCGATTTCAGTCAAAATACGACTTCCTGCTGCTGCTGTACCGGGTGATCTCGGAGAGTACTGTATGCCTGATGAATCACGAGAGAAGACAGACACTTCTCATGGTCGACAGACTGGCATATCAAATATCGATGAATCTCTACAATTCGAGGGCCAGCCACGATTTGACGGGAGGACAGCAGAGACAGGTACACTCATTTCATCGCGTAATCGATTAAAATAGCCGCCAAACTGACCGTTTCCGGTCCCTTTAAAGTGGAATTTCATGTCGTAATTGGTTAGCCTGTGTGGCAGTTCGATGATTCCCGGTCCCATTAGCTAGTTAATTCCTAATTTCACGACGTAATCGATTAAACTGGTAGCCAATTTCAAACTTTCTGATCTGTTTAGCTTATTTTATCCGGTTTTAACGTCGTAAACGATTAAATTCACATCCAATCCGAGACTTCCCGGCCCCTTTAAACCTCAAATACTCCTCAAATTCCAATTTTCAGACGCTCCTCTACCTGCCGAAAGACTCGAGCCAATGGGTGCCGGTGCCCGTGATATGAGGCCGCTACGCAACAGTACGCAACAGTACGCTACCGTACTCTCCCGTACTCTGCCGTACTCTACCGTACTACACGCCCCCATCGCTTTAATGTGTGTATTTTCCCCCTCGAATTTGTGTGTTTAGTGAGTGCTAAAATACGGATTACACCCCCTTACACCCGACTCGTCATCACGTAGCGTCGCGTAGCCAGTAGCTTGGAAATTGTCATTTTTGTCTATATGATTATTATTATTCAGTGTGTCGGGCGGGTACCCCGCGGTTTACCGTATCCACTTTTCGGGCTCTCTCCTCCCCCACTTTTCTCCCCGCAAATCCACAAAAAATGTGATTTTGGTGCAGATCGGAATTTTTCAGGATTTTTCAAAACTTCAAAAAATTCTAGAAAATCGTAGCTGTATTATTTTACAGCGTTTTATGTATCATTTTGTAGCCCTTGAAAAGCTCTATCCATCAAAAATTAAATAAAAACATTAAAATTTGGTATCGCTGAGATACCGCTAAAAAAGTAAAAAAATTAGCCAAAAACTTTAAAAATTTATATATCTTGAATCCGTCCTATTTTAAAAATTCGATGTATGCCATTGGATAGAGCTAAAAACGTAGATATTTTTAACTCTTAAAATTTAGAAAATCTGTCAAATTTTCGCAAACTTAGACCCCCGGCAAAAATCGTTTCTTCCGATTTTCGCTTACAGTACGCTAATTGTCATTTTTGAGCTAAAAACCTGAATCCAAGGATGTCAAATTATAGCCTGGATGTCAGTTTAGCATATCCGGCAGAAAAATCCGATCTGTGCGCACTAACGGCTACCGTAGTCCCCTTCCCGGCCCCTCCGCGCCCGGCGATACCCAACAGATACAAGTGCTCTCTGATACGGTCGTCCAAATGAATACAATGCATATAATCCTACCCACCTTTATCCGCTTGACTGACTGCCAGTTTGGCCATTCGAATACATACCATGTAGGCTCCGCCCACTTTTACACTTTTTTTACAATTTTTCCTCGCCCTTCCCCCGAAAATGCGTGTGTTTTTGTCATTTTTGCATGTGTTTTTTTGTAAAATTGTGAAATTTCTCCTCGGTGAATTCCTCTGGATGCCATGCTGTTGTTTTTCGCCTCGCTCTCTATCGCTCGTGAGAGACAGCGAGACAGAGAGAGAGTGCGAATTTTTGGCCGAAAAATGGGAATTTTGCCAGGAATAAATGGGTGTTGTGGAATTTTTGGAAGCGCAGGAAGAGAGAGAGACAGACAGAGAGACAGTTAGAGCAAAGAAACACATAAACTGCCTCAAAGAATTTCTGGTAGTTGTTAAAAGCACAAAAATGCGAAAAAGCAAACTTTTTCGAATATAAAAATGGCTTTTTTTGGAATTTTTCTCGGTTTTCCACGTTATTCCTCTTGACACCTAGCGGTACTGTAGCTAAATGGCAGGCGAAAGGGAAAATTCAGTTCTATCGGAAACACTCGAAAAATCACCGTATTTTATCGGAATCCGATTCGACAGACCTCGAAAACTTTTAAAATTCGGATTTTGCGATTTTTCGAGCTTTTCCGAGCGATTCCTATTGACGCATCGATTCGTACTGTAGCGGAATAATCCTCCTATCCAAGAAAGGAAATCGAGTTGTAACTGTTTTGAAGTCTCAGCTACCGTAACCCACCGGAAGTGCCTTTCGGTCTACAGAAATTTCAAAATTCGGTGCAGAACAAGCCATAATACTTTGTACTTACAATATTACTATAACAAAATACTTTATATTTTACATATCCCACCTATAAAAATTTATCACGGTCCGGATACGATTTCCTCTGCTTGTTCGGGCCCTTCCGGGGCCCCCGACACGGCTGCTCTTCCCCCTAAAATCGTCGAATTTTTGTCAAAGGTGGTAAATTAAACAATGACTAACACCATTATTAATAGAAAACAATTTTCGAGAATACCAATAATTTTTTATGCCTAAAAACTTTCGAAAATTCTATGAAAACTATTTTTTTTGCGCCGACAGGCTTCGAGAATTCGCATATCATACCGATCAGCGCTCGCTTGCACCCGAATGCTGTCGTCAGGGGGGCCGACAGCAGCGCGCCGATCACGTTGCCGACCGGCAAAACCAGGTAGAGCATGCTGTAGAGTGCGGCTTATTCAAACCGGGTTTGAATAAGATTTCCGTTATTCAAATCAAACCGGTTTGATTTGAATACGGGATCCTTATTCAAACCAAACCCGGTTTGAATAAGGATTCCCAACTCAAACCAAACCAAACCGGTTTGAATAATTTGAACAAGGTTTGAATAAGAACCAGTCTCCGAAACAGTCTGTTTTCGGCACCATTTTTGCGTTTTGGCACCAATCCTTTTGTGAATTCACTTTAGGGTGGTTCAGCAGCATTCCTGCCAGGTTTTTGGGGTTAGCGGATCATTTCGAGACCTTTTTCTTTCAGCGCTGCCAAGGTTATCCCGACCATTCGGATGCTTGTGAAAGGTTGTGAATGCCAAGCCTATCGTTGAAAAAGTGCGTAAACCCCGTAAATGATGCGAATTTCATCATTATATTGATCACACAAGGTTTTAGAAGGGATGCCTCGAAATCTTAGCCGATTAGCATCCATCCAATCGATTAACATGCTGATTTGCCTGTTGTTCAAACCAATTCAAACCAACTCAAACCTGGTCGGTTTGGTTTGAATAACGGATCCTTATTCAAACCAAACCGGTTTGATTTGAAAAGCAGATTCTTGTTCAAACCGCCCTTATTCAAATCAAGCCGGTTTGAGTCGCGATTTGATTTGAATAAGCCGCACTCTAGCATGCTGGTTTCCTTGCCAGACCAGCCCTGGCTTTTCTGAAATCCCAATTTTGACAGCGCAGCCTTTGGTTCTGGTTCGTTAGCGGGGGGCATTTTGAGGACGTTTTCTCATTTCTTACGCTATTTTACGTTATTTATTATGGTATTTTCAGCTGTCAGTGAAGCTCTTGGGGATATTTCCGGAGGCGCTATCAAATCGCGTTTTCAAAATATCGAAAAACTTATGATCGAGCAGCGATCTACCAAGTAAAATATTGGGGGGAAGAAAGCCTTCATAAACTGAAGACATGGCAAACGGCCGGGCCGCCGGCTTTTTTTCGGCCGGAAAAATTAGAATGCGACCGAGGGCCGGAGCTTCCGGTCCGGCCCCGGCTTTTTTATGTTCTGAGGCCGGAGCCCCGGCCAAGCCGCCGGCTTTTGAAAAGCCGGAAAGCCGGACCCAAATGGGATTTTCGCGTTTCCGGTACGCAAATTGCGGATTCAATCAATAATTAGCTTTATGGCAAGAGAAAAACTACTTCGCCATAGAAATTTGGTCATTTCCATTCACAATGTTGCATAGGATTGACGGATTCTCACGTAAATGAACAACTTCCGGTTTCTCGGCCGGGCCGCAACCTAAAGCCGGCTGGGCCGGGAAGCCGGGTTTCCGGAAGTAATTCATTAACGCGGCTCGTATGGGGCCGCGTTTTTGATGGAAATTGGGCCGGTGGCTCGGCCGTGCGGCTAGGCCGGCCGGGATTGCCATATCTGATAAACTGCGAATGTTACCGTGGACGACGATGCAGACCATGGGCAATGGGGATGCAGCCCATCCAAGCCCAGTGGTCAGCCACAGCCCGCCCAGCGCCACCGTTGATCCGCCGCCACCTATACATGTTTGTTATTGCTTGGCAGACATCGAGGTAAGACTTTACTTTACCCTCCCCCCGCCCCGGCCGGAAGGCCCCAAAATTTTTCTAAGGCCGCCAATCGGTAGCCCTAGGTTGGCCAGGGGATAGGATTTTCGGAAAAATGTCGAAAATGTCGAAAACTAGCTTTGCTCCTCCGGTTCCTATTGGGGAAATCGCGTCTACAACATGTTTTTGCTGTAACTATTTTATATTGCATTATTTTGGGCTGAGATTAAAAATATTAGTATATTTTTTTGATGCTCTATCGAATCGCGTCGAAAAAATCCCGAAAAATAGCGTACATAATGAAAACTTGGGAGCCTCGGGGTGGGGGGGGGGTAAAGTAAACCGTAGCCTGTTGCAGATAGACTTACTGATGAATTGGGCTAGCTTGGCCAGCCGCGTCTTGCATGGGGGGCAGTAGCGGCGGATCACCGGTTCGAGGCAGGTCCAGTTGAGCGCTTTACAGAAGAGCTGCAGGGTCGGGGTGACGACGACCAGATAGCCGATCTGAGACAAAGTTTAAAAAGACAAGTAAGAGAAGACGGTACGGTTTCCTTTGGGCTGGCCGGGCTGCGATCGTCGCGAGGAATTCGGGGAACATGGTTCCCGCGACGGCCGTCACAAACATCGCCGCGAAGCCGTTCAAGTGGACGACCAACGCCGCTCTTGACCACCACAAATTCGTCCACGGAATCGTGCGGTCGTTCTGAATGAAATTAATAAAAAAACTCAACTTAATTTGTGCGATTTTCGGGGGGAAAATCGGTTTTTAGGGTTCGCGGGGGGGACCAATTTTTTCTAGGCGGTCCCGGTTGCCCTAGTAATCAAATATAAAGTGTTTTCGCATTGTTTTTATTAAATTCACTATATTTAAAGTAGAAAAACTTCCAAAAAAGTTAGAAAAATGTTTGAAAAAGTCGAAAATTTGGTCATTTTGGGACTTCCCCCCGCTAATCCTAAAGGTTCTATAGGATTTTGCGATCTAGAATTAATTTTCTTAGCTTAAAATTTGTGTAGTTTTTATGCTTAGGAATAACTAAAAACAATTTAGAAACGCAGCCGCTATTTATACAAGAATTTAGGTTTGGGCCGAGAAAAATGTGGACTCACCATGAACGGCGCGCTCATCCCGAATGCTGCCTTTTGCAGCACATAAACGACGGTGTTGGCCAGCAGGGTGGCCACTACCGTCCATGCCGGCAGCCCGGCGGCCACATTCTTAAAAGTAGTACGCCCGACTTGTCAGAAAGCCTGGCAAAGGTTAGTTCGAGTTTTTATTCAAAAAAAAATGTCAAAAATATCGATTTTTCGACCAACGAAGACCGATGTTAGACCAAAATTTCGACTTTTTGCAGCATTTGTTACGTATTTTTGTAATAAACGTATTTTTAAATATTTTTAAATATTAAAAAAGCTCTTTGTATATTTTTCGACGTTCTATCGATTGGCATTTTCCAAAATATCGAAAATTGCAAATTTTTGGTTCTTTACGATTTCCGGGGGGGGGGACCAAATTTTTTCGGCATAAGCCTAAATTTTTTGTAAATAGCGGATGCGTTTCTAAATTGCTTTTAAATATTCCTGAGCATAAAAACTACACACATTTCAATTAAAAAATTTAATTTTAGGTCGAAAAATCCTATAGAACCTTTAGGATTAGCGGGGGGAGGGAGGACCCAAAATGATCAAATTTTCGACTTTTTCAAACATTTTTCCAACTTTTTTGAAAGTTTTTCTTCTTTAAATATAGTTAAAATTTACTAAAAACAATTTGAAAACACCTTATCTTTGATTACTAGGTCAACCGGGAAAACCAGGAAAAAAATTGGTTCCCCCCCCCGGAAATCCTAAAGAACCAACTTTTATAATACATTTTTCGCGGAATGAGTGCGTTATCCTATGTTTACCGACGCGAGCAAATGACTCACATTTAGCCTGGCGAGCAGGGACAGGGGCCGCGATGAGGGCCGCGAATCCGATCTGAATACCATGCCATTATTTGTCCACCAACGGACGGGGCTCACCATTTTTATTTTAATTCAACAGCGTTGTGTCAGCAAAAATCTAAATGGTCATTGTTGTTATACGAAAAAATTATAAAGAAAAAGTGACCACGGAATTAGAAAAATGTTTCAAAAAGTCGAACATTTTTAGTCATTTAGGGTCGCAATTTATGAATTTTTACGCCTTTCCTAGCAGCCTAACTACGGTTTTTTGAGAGGCGTTTGCGAAAACACAGCTTGGATAGCGCTTAAACCGGTTAAATCGAGTTTTTGACAAAAAGCTTGTTCTTTTTTGCATGCAGATGCCGAAAATGGACCAAAAATTTGGAAATTTTTGAAGGGAGTAGCGTGCTTGATTCGCCTTTCCGAGAGCTTTCAATGGATACCAAAATCGTAAAAATCGGACCACACTGCCGACCGCTAGAGGGCGTTTCTATAGGATTTTAGGTAAGACGACTTCCCCCCCACAGCCAAAGGGACTCAAAGTTTTCGGTATTTTAGCCCATTTTGTCGGGGGGAACCAACCTTTTTTTGTCGGCCCTGGTGGGGATAGTAATCAAACATAAAATGTTTTCACATTGTTTTTAGCAAAATTTAAGCCTATTTGAATCGGAAAAACTTTTTAAAAAGTATAGAACATTTGGTCATTCTCCCCCCCGGGAATACGCAAGTACCGTAAAGTGTAGCCATTTTAGGATCATACTAAAAGTTTTAGTATTTTTTTTGCGCTCCATCCAATGGCGCCAGAAAAACCCGAAAAAATTGTGAAAGTTTGGAAAATTCGGAGACGGTCGGGCTGCGGAATAAATTATTCACCCCCCCCCGCTAACAATCCAGTACCCAAAAAAAGCAAGCCAAAAATTCAGAGGTGAAAAAAGATGGAAAAGTCTGGAGGGAAATGGGTTGTGGGCCGGGAGAAGGGGTGGGGGAATGGGTGAGCAAGGGCTTGATTCACTGGCCAATCACCCCATCGCACCGTTCGGAAGGCCCCCCGAAGGTGAGACTTGTTACTCACAAAACCACTAGCACCCAGAGCGATAAACAAAAAACCTGAAGAAAAGGTGAAAAACAAAACGACTTAACCGTATATTAAGTAAGTAGAAAAATTTATTGACAAAATTTTGATGGGAATCGCTGAATTGTCGTGAAAACGACAGACTACAAACCATAAACTGCCATCTGACCTCCAGGCTACAAACTGCCACCCAAATGACCCGGGGGTTCGACCCCCGGCCGCGCCATACTTTTTGCCTTTTGGAGTTTTGGCTTAAAAAACCTGGACTTATTCCAAAAACCAAACAAAATCAAATTTATTCCTTGTAAAATTTGTAAATAAAAGATACAGCACAACCAGAGATCGCTAACAAGCCACAAAGCACGATTTGCTTCCAAATACGTCCAAAAAAGAGTTTGAAAGCCCGGATGATCGTCTGCTTCTCGTCGACCGTCAGCCGCTTCCGGTAGGTGTACACTAGAAATTGGCGCAATTTTTGGGGATTTTGCTTGATGTTATTTTTATCTGGCGGACAGTTTAGAGTTATTTATTGAGATCAAAAACATTCAGTGATTAGACACGTCAATAGGTGCCAACGGAAAAACTCAATTTTTGCGATTTTTTCGGAATTTAGGGTCTCGAAAAATCGATTTCCCTTGAGGTATGGTAGCGCAAACTTTAGAACCGGATATATTCATCGATTCATTCTCATCGTAGGTAATTAGCACTTACATTTTCGCCAGCCGTCAAGAGGAACGGCTCGGGGAAAAAAAACAGAATTTTTGGCAGCTTGCTGGGCTCATAAAACGAGATTCAAGCGAGGTATGAGTGTATTAAGCACTGATCCTGATAGAACTCGAGCTGCTGTGTCGAATGGTATGTAAAAAGACGCAACAGTACCCCGAGACGTGGCTCGGAAAACCGGAATCGGGCGGAATATGATGAAAATTTCATACCTGTGGCCCCGCCAATCCAAACAACAGCGTGGATGAAGAGAACGGAAAGACGCAGAGAACACGGAGTTGAGCACTGGAAATAGAGAGATCGGAATGGGCAGGCTAGCAAAGACCATTTGAGAAATTGATTACTCCATGAAATTCTCATCTGGCAGCCAGAAAATAGATTCGCGGGGCAGAGCAGGCCAGCAGAGATCATTTAGGAATCGCTTACGCCATGCAACTCTTATCTGGCAGACAGCTGATGGATTGGCGACTCGAGGCAGGCGAGCAGAAACCATTTACGGAACCGATTGTGCCATAGAATTGCTAGCTGGCAGACTGGCAAGTCATCAGCAAGGCGAAACAAGTTATCAGAGAAAATTGCGCAACGATTACGACATCAAATTGTCATCTGGCATTCTGGTATGAGAGTGCGACCGTTACGCAAGCTAGCCGTGAACCTTTAGGATCCGATTATGACATGAAAGTCTGAACTTTCAGACAGTTGAAGGATTGACGAGGCGAGGCACGCTAGCAGAGACAGTTTGGGGCTCGATTACCACATGAAAGTCCCAACTGGCAGACAGTTTAAAGATTGACGATGCGAGGCAAGCTAGCAGAGACGATTTGCCCTACCGTTTCCACCCGAAAGTAGTGATAGACCACGTAGAAATAGGCGACAATCATCAGCAGCAGCCATCCGGCAACCAGCCCGAGATCCCATTTTTCGCCGGTCGTCAACGGCTTCACGTTCGAAGCGACTTTCTCAAAAAGAACGGTATTCTATTAATGTTTTTTTTACTAAAATATACTCATATTTCATCTAGAAAAACTATATACCGACCTTAAAATTTTTACAAGTCGACTTGTGATAAAAAATCGGCCATTTTTGCTGGAAAAATTTATTTTTTAAGAATTTGTAAAGTTCGATTTATTCTTAATTTGCATTAGAAAAATTGGACTATGAGAAAAACGTTGGTTCCCCCCGATAATGCGAAAGAACCTACAGGGTGTCCCAAAAAAAACGACCCATCTGGCATTTTGCCGGGTTACATCCAATCGGTCCCAAATTTGGGCCAAAGGTGTACCAGACCCTAAATAACAACAATCCTCCCTTATAGCCCTGTAGCTATAGTAGTTCTCGAGTTATAACGAAAACAAACTTTATTTTCCATTTTTCATAGGGTTTTCGTGGAATTAGACCCCCTAAAGATTAAGCGTAAATGATCCGGTAGGCCTTTTTTACCCTAAGAAATTTTTTCCAGACAAAAATTAATTAAATAAGCTTCGATTTAAGCGATTTTACAACGCAAAATTACCCAAGTTCGTAAGCGAAATTAGCGATTCGCGGCCGGAAGTCGATGCAAATCGATGCAAAGTCCAAAAAGATAGCCGAAAATGCTGTTCAGAATTCCGGGGAAAACAGTATTTTCGTTATAACTCGAGAACGACTGTAGTTGTGGGGCTATAACTCAGGATTGTTGTTATTTAGGGTCTGATACACCTTTGGTCCAAATTTCGGACCGATTGGATGGAACCCGGCGAAATGCCAGATCGGTCATTTTTTTTGGGACACCCTGTATGTTTTTGCGTAGAAGACTACCAACCGGTGCGGGCTGATTATCATGGCGTAATCGGGCATTCTCCCGCTCAAGTGCGGCCAGTCGTTGGCTCTGCTCGGCGAAAAGGGCCTGGAAATACGTCCTTATCCCGTGGGCCAGAATTTGTAGTTCGTAGCCGGCAGCCGGGGCGTCGGTTTTTTTGGGAGTTTTAGTCTGTATTTTGTAGGTTGGATGACGGATGGCCTATTTACATCAAAATCCGAGTCAAAACTCCAAAAAGCACAAAAACCGTCAAACAGTCGAACTTGGGGCGGCTAGGCGACAGATTGTAGTCTGTAGCCTGTAGTCTGGATGTCAGTTTAGCAACTCCCAACGAGAAAGAGGCAAAAAGGACGTTTGTAAACCTTATTTGCACGTGATAGCGTACCTCCGTCTGCCGCGTCTTTTCCCTCTCCTCCCTCAGCCGATCTCTCAGCGATCGATTCCTCAAATTGCCTAAGTTGCCGAGTTTTTTGTAGTCTGAGGTTTACTGGCTTACAATTCTTCGATTCGGCCCCATCGTCGCTACTGTCACAAAATGGCGATACGGGGTCGGCGTTTTCTGGAAAAGCGTGAAAATTTTCAAAGGTTTGACAGTTCGCTGATAAAGAATCTCTGCTAGCCACGCTGGCTGGATCAAGCCTGAAACGAGCGATTAC